AACTTAATATTTTTCAACAGATTTGACTTTTTTTTTAAATAGCTATATATATTGTAAAATACTAAATGTTTTTGAAATATGACATTAATTTGTTGAATGTAATTTCCATTTAAAAATTGTTGCAAGAATGCAGTTATGGTGCTTTTCCACTGTGTGGTACGACACGGCATGGTTCGGCTCGGCACTGTTTGCGTTTCCACTGCAGTTCAGTACCGCTTTACAGTGGGCGGGATTATTCACATGTCGTTATAGTTGCGCCGCCTCTACTACCACGACTCCTAAAAAAAACTTTTTCATTTCACGTCGCCCCATCAAGCTCTCGCTGGATCCGCTCCTCTGCTATCAACGAGAGGAACGTCTGTACTTCTGCAACAGACAACAAAACTTTTTGGTTGTTAAAAAAAAGGTGCGCTCATTCAAAACAGTTGCGTTTGATCCTTTGCTGGCTGTGCTGATTTAAATCTAGCGGTTCTTTTGTGTTTGTGTCGCAAGTTCAGTGACACAGGTAGTGACGATTCTCTCCGGCCAATCCGTGATCAGCACCATGCAGTGGAAAAGCGCCATTAGAGACCCCAATGGAAACTCTGTGTGAAGCTATTGTCGGTTTCTATTGCCCATCCTCTCTGCTTTCTGTAAATGCTGTAAAGAGGCAGAAAACCCACTGATGCTTTTGTCCCCTGATAAATAATTCAATGCGTCTGATTAAAATTTTTTGCAGCATGTGTTTTGGAGATTTCTGCCATGATGTGACAGGCACGCACACGTTAGTTTGACACGAGGAGAGAGGTGGAGTCTGTTTTTCTTTCCTTACTGTCTGAGATTTAGCGAACGGTGATATGGCAGGTGGTAGATTCCACTCCCTGGCGGCTGAGTGAATTTAACCAAGTGTTGGATTGCCTTCTCTCCATCCCTCGCCTACATGTAAACACAATCTCCCCCTGTCTGACTGTGCTTCCGCCGGCTTGTATTCCCCCCCGTCCTCCCGCTGATACCTTCCACAGTTAATAAAAAATGGCCCCACAGACTTTCCAATTATATTTCTTACTTAAATGAAAACATGTTGTCAAGCAGCTTTGCACAGCTGCCATACAGGAACACACCGATCGAGACTGCACCAGGTTTACAGGAGTGAGCTAGCCATTTAGCTTCAGGACAGTTTGATAGATGCACTTTTTTGGCTTTTACGTTTTTTTGGAAAGCATTTTTATGTTGTTGTTTTTATCTTATCTCTGTTTTGGCTTTTTATTTTATTTATTTATTTATTTATTTATTTATTATTTTAAATACATCCAGAAAACTGTGAATAGGAGCATTTCTCCAAAAACATTCGTCTCTAAACATTAATGTTTGAAGGTTTTTTTTAATACCTTTTATTTATTTATTTGCTTTTGTTTTGTTTTTATATTGGGCTTTTTAATTGGATTTTTAATTACATTTTAATTTTTCATTTATTTATTCATATAATTATTTCAGAAAGCTATAAATGAACCATTTGTACATTGATTCCCTCAATGGGATTTTTAAGCATCCAAAACAACTGGACCAATGGCAAATAGAAAACAATTGTTATTTTTGCATTTTTTTATGGTGACGCTAGTAGCATGGAAATGACTCACTTCAGTTGTAAACATCATGTTTTTTCCTGTTGTTTTGAGGTCGGTTAGTATTTGGCCCCTGGTTAACTCCACTGCATGTTGTGTTCTCTGGCAATATGAGGTCACAACCCCCGTGTGCTTTTCTTCATAACAGTCCAGCTATAAAAGCCCATAAAGGCCTGTGTCTCATAGGGCCGAATGAACGGCCCCTGCTAATAAGAAGCATAAATCTCAAAGACGAGCTACAGTTGGTTTTCACAAACTACATTTAAACGCTGTTTTATCGACACTCAGACAGGACCTGCCCCTTCTATGCCTGTCATAAAACAGGCATTACCGTGGCATTTACTCATTGTGCCGGGTGCACAGCGCATATTAGCCACTGTCCAAGCTATGGACAGCCAGTAAAAAGGCCACTTGTTCAGTCAATTATCAGTAATGGTGTTTAATGGCAAAGTGGCGCGACCACCTAGGGTGTGCCATGGGGGCTTTTAATGGCACCATCCTTCTGGGCCTGGGGAGAATTTGCACAATTTGCCATCCTGCACCATGTGCTGCCGCGTCCTTCCAGACGCCGCGGTCAGCTAATTAATTCCCCACCACATCAGAGCGCTGTAAGGCCACTTGTTTCGCATCGATCGGTGCACAACGAGCCCGGGGTCCCGCCATCCCGCGGCCCCTCAGGGTCGCAAGAGCTAACAAGTAAAGGTCAGGCCATTTCGAATGCGGCACCGTCGCATATGCAAGCGCCATTACTCTCACAGACTCTCCGGAACCTTCTGCCACCCTTCTAAGAGAACTTAAAATGCCCCTTCCTCCCCCCTGCTGCGTTACTAGATAGGAAGAACTCTAAGAAGAGCTTTCTGTTCTTTTCCATGAATCTAGTCGCCCCTTTTTACCTCATCTCTCTCAGTGAATATAAAAGCGGGACTGTTATCTGTGGGGGCCGCCCGGCCCCCTTACATACTAAAGAGACAGCTATTATCCTTCAGGCTTTTCTTTCACAGAAGGAGGAGAGAGCGGACCTAAGATTAGGCACAGACCTGGTGTGGGACCACGCTCACCTTTGTGCCGTGTCTGTATATGTGTGTGTGCCCTCAAGAGCTTCTTATCCCACAATCTGATGGCCGCTGGCAGGCTGAATCTATCCTTGAATACTTGTCCCCCTATTGAAAGGCTGAATGGGTCAGGGTGGTTTGGAGGCAGCAAAGCAGGACTGAAGTGTGAAGTTGTGCATTAGGTCATCGAGAATAACTAGAGAGCGTTTGAGAATATAAATATTGAGGGGAAAAATTGAAGCAGATACATAAGAGATTTCATTGTTTTTAAATCAGATTTTCAATAAATATAATGATATAGGCGAAATGTGCACTTTAATTATAATATTTCACACCTACAATATCAGTATATTTATATGAATTAATTTATGAAAAAATTGTATTTTTTGCTTTTTTTTTAATTTTGTTCAACTTTTCACTTTTCAGTTTATTTACTATACAATGTTATATATTATAGTATTCAAAAAATTGAAGCAAGTATAGAAATAATAAATTATTATATCAATGTTTAATTTTTTCAGTGTTTTATGTATTGTATATTTTGCCTTTCAATAATAATAAATTGTAATTAAAATTTTCAGTTTCTCTATATTATATATAGAAATTAGAAAAATGCAAATTAGAAGCTTTTTCACTAATGGCCTCAGACTTTATATGTCAAAGACAGGTGACATAGGTTCTCACTGTATGAGAAATATGGAGTGAGGGTGAGAAAGAGAGAGACTTCATGCTGGTTATGAGGAGAGACAGTTACATATGAGCCTGAGTCGAGGGCTGTCTCCTCCCATCATGCTTTAGTGCAGCTGTAGCCAAGAGACTCTCCTCTTTCTGGACAGAACTATATGCTCCGGCTACAGGCCTATAAACTAGCATCCACCAGCTTGGACAGCATAATTATAGAGCCGACATACATCACTGCGATTGTGAAAGGCAGGCATGGTGGTTTATATTGCTGCATTATAATATTACACAGTTTATAGAATCTCCCTGCTAATGCTAGTAGTTTCTCAGAAAAATCCATTTACATTGGCATCAACATTTTCATTAGATGCTATGATGTTTTAACTACATACTGCAAGATAGAAACTGAGTATTACCAAGAAACCACCAATTTAGTGCCCAAAGACTTTTTGTAAGAATAAACAGCATGTTTATACAACATGTGAGGGATGATTCTTGTCTTGTTCCTATATATATGTATACACATTCATTCATTCATGGTGTATTTATTTATTGTGGAAGAAACGGAATCATACAGAAGAAACATACTTTAAAAAAAAAACTCATGTTTCCAGTGGTCATTTATAAAACATGTTTCCCTGAACATACAGTAGAGCGCTGTTTTAGAGGAACATAAATATGCATTGAGTGATAGCGGAGGATAACAGATTTCCCTCAGCCTCTATGAGAGCTCCAGTCAGTGTGATCTTTATTGGAAGTGATTGAGGGTGATGAGGATCTTTAACGCTTGCAGCTCTATTGTTCTCTATGGGGCTGAGTGACTGATGGCTCCTTTTGTGCCGGGAAGGTGTTTTTCCAACCGTCTGTACTTTAGGGCTAATCTCAGGGACCTCAGGAAGGAGCATTGGAGTGTGCGTGTGTACGTCAGCATGTGTACGCCAGGCATGGCATGCACTTTTTGTGCATTTATTAGTGTGCGTGCATGTAATGTGAAAGAAGCAGAAAGGAGCATGTTCAGACGTACTGTGGGATGTATAAAACCCGTGGCAGTGTGTTTGTGAGTGTGAAGACTATGGCTGGATGCACTCTGAAGTGTGTCCTTGCAGACAGGGTTTTCCTCAAGGATGAACAGGCCTCTGTCAGGGTCAGACAGGATGGTACCCTTGGGCCTGTGGAGGGATATCATTCCTCACAGAACATGGCCATGAGCAGCTTTCAGATCTGTATGCATGTGTAAATGCTTTTAGGCTCCAGTAGTTATCTATTTAAGTAGAAGTGCACAAGATGTTACAATATCAAAAAAGGCTGTTGTTGAATACCTCAAATACCAGAAATTTCAGAATTCTTGATAGCCGTTTTGACAGCCAGGCTCAAACCAGTCAACCAAGCTATGAAACCAAGCAAACCAGCTTAGGCTGGTTGAAACTGCTCTTTCAGTTATTAATATTTGAATAAATATGTACAAATTCAGCTAATTAAAATAATATGTAGATCTTGTAAGTAATTATTACGTATTAATATTAATTTAATATTGCTTGCTTGAATAAAGTAAATACAGTCGGTCTGGTATTGTTACATTTTTTATTATTATTCTAGTGTAAATTTCAACCAAATCACTGGCAGTTTTCACCTTCCTTTACTAATTTTTCTCTCTGTTCTCTTACAGGTAGAGGATGCTATGCTTATGTTTGATAAAACTACAAATAGACATAGAGGTAAGAGCCCATTTGTTTTGTGTGTGTATCTGTTTGTGTCTTTGCATGCGTGTGTAATGTTATTATGAATGTCCTTCAGTTATACTGTGCCGTTAGTCGTGCAGTTCAAAGTTACGCTCTGAAGCGCGAGTTTTCTGTAGCAGTACAGGAGCCCTTGTGCTGTATTTTACATTATAGCATTATATCTTCAAGGACGTTTAATTTGAGCCCTGAAGGTCAAGGCTAATATGGTCCAATAAAAGAGCAGCGATTTCCACTGTAGCCAATCCATCGACTCTATTTGATTAGTCCGACATCTACCATTGGATGTGCAGGGTGGAATGTTTCTCGGTCATGTTCACTCACGCCTGCAGGCTTGTGAAAAATGTACGATATCTTCAGACTTATGATATACTGAATTTGAGGTTATTGCTCACCTGAGTGATGTTTCTATGTCTTTATTTCTGAGACTTTTTTTCTGAGAAAGAATGAGCTTAGTGGAATGTTACAGGGATTTGGGGTGATTTTTTGGGGATTTTTTTCATTTTATTTGAGTCATCAAGTAATTTTTTTGATAGAGTAAAGGATGAGAATGAGAGTTTAAGAGAAGAAAATTAGAAGAAGTGACATGAGAAGAGGGAAGGAAAGCTAAGGGGAAGAGAGAAGAGAATATGTGATGAAAAGGAAAAATTATGTTAGAGAAGAAGAGAAATGAGAGGGAAGGAGAAATGGTGGAGGGGAAGAGAAATGAGGAGAAGGAAGGAAAAATGGGAGGGGGAGAAGAGAAATGAGATGAAGACAAGAAAAATTAGATTATAAAAATAAATGAAGGGGAAGAGTAGAAGAAGGTATGATAAATGATGAGAAAAAAGAAGAGAAATTAGATTATAAAAATTAGGAGAGGAGAAGGAAAAATATAAGAGAGAAATAAGGGGAGGAGAGGAGATATAAGGAGCATGAAGGAGAAATAACGGTAAGTGAGAAGTAAAATATGGAGACTGAATGAGAAATAAGAAGATGGGAGGAGAAATGGTGGAAGGATGAATAGAAATAAGGGAGATGAAGAGAGGAGAGAAAATGAGACGAAGACAAGAAAGATGAGGGGGAAGAGAAAGGATGAGATAAGGAGAAGAGAAATGAGTGTAAAGGAGAAATAAGAGGAGGAGAGAGGAAATATGGGAAGAGGGGATGAGAAATGAGGAGAGGAGGGTAAAATAAAGGCAGAGGAGGTGGATAGCATAAAGGAGAGGAGAGAAGAAAAACTGGGAGAGGAAATGAGGTGGGAAAAGAGAAATGAGGAGAGGAGGAGAAATAAAATGAAGAGAGAAGCGAAATGTGGAGATTGAAGGAGAAATAAGAGAAATGGGGAGAGGGAATGAGAAATGAGGAGAGAGGGGGAGTAACTAAGGGAAGTAGAAAATAAAAATGAAAGGAGATGTCGGTGCCAATAGCCTAGTGGTTAGTGTGCCGACTTATGGCACAACTGCCTTCACGGCGACCCGAGTTTAATTCCCATCTTGAGGTTATTTGCCGATCCTGCTCCCCTCTCTCCTCCCAATGCTTTCCTGTCTCTTCTCTATTGTTCTATCAGATAAAGGCACTAAATTCCCATAAATATAACTTTTTAAAAAATTATGTAAAGAAAGGAGAAATGAGACAAGGAGAGGTGGTCTTTGGTCAGAGTGGGCTGTTGACTTCATCCAGCTGTGATCCCCGTGTCTTAGCAGTGATGCCTTTATAAAGGTGAGCCGAGGAATAGCTAGCAGCTTTATGCTACAGTGTTCACAGGTATAACATCCTCCTCTGTAGCGGCCTGAAAGCCACGAGAGAGATTCTTAGCCTTGAGTGGCCTTTGTATGGGCTGAATGAAGAGGCCGAGGAGCAGCGCTGTGTCTTTTATGCTGCATAAGTGGCTTTCAGCGCTCACAGATGGGCAGGTTGTGGAAATGAAGTGGACGGTATTAATCTTTCAACCTGAGATTTGCCTTTTAATCCATATCGGTCATATTTTAAAGGTGAGCTCACGTGCGTGTCTGTGTTTGAAAGGTGTGCAGATATGCATTGCCTTTCGTTATTTTTTTTTCTCTTTCTCTCTCACTCACTCCCCCCCCCCCCCCCCCACCCCCTCCTTC